GGAGGAAGAAGAGGGAGAGAGAGAGAGAGAGAGAGAGAGAGAGAGAGAATAACACAATGCCTGCCACATTGTGAATAGGTATCTCTCAATACCATTGTATCACCTCAGTGAAGATATTTCAGCTCTGGCAGTCACTGACTGGTTCAATTCCTTCTGGTTGTCTAGACCATGTTTTAGTTAAAATAGATCTGTGCATAGTTAAACCAGAACATGTCGTATTTGTGATCACTCTTCCTTCCTAATTCGTACCATGTCTTGGTGCTCACACAGGAGCTCTGTGAAACTGTTGAAGGAGGAAGATATGCTTAGACACCAGACAGGCACGAAGGCTGAGTACAGTCAAGACACAGGATGACAGATTTCTATGATGGGGAAGTAGATGGGTAGGAAAATCAATTTTTAAATGAATTTGTAACAGAATTATGTCATCATTTGTGCTATTCTTGTCAGTGTTCAAAGATAAAGTGAGGTGTGTGTGTGTGTGTGTGTGTGTGTGTGTGTGTGTGTGTGAGACTTCTCTTTTAGAGGAAAGGAAACAAGGAAACAGCACCAAATTATTCTAGCTGAGACTCAAATAGTTTATCTTAAGCTGCAGCTCTACTGGTTTTTTTTAAGGGAGAATGATGTGCTTGGGGATTTGATTTCCCAAGTGCATTCCTCATTCTTGCTTCTCCTGCTTCAAGCGTTTCTCCCTTTTCCCCTTTCCTTCTCTTTTCTGCCTTATCTAATTTCTCTTACCTTTCCTTTTGGAGAATTTCTTTTTATAGTTGCTGACTTCATGGTGCCTCCTTTAGATTAGCCCTAGATGTTTGATTTCATGGTGCTAGTGTGAGCCTGAATGTAAATATATAGTCTTTCCCTATTCCTCCAATCATCTTTTTGTGGTTGTTGTCTGGAAGGGGTGAGAATTAGTGGTCTGGCTGTACCTCATTGGTAGAGCACTAGCATGAAGCTGGAGGCTCAATACCCAGCACTGTAGGAAACAAATCATTTTTTAGATGTTCATGTTGTCTTGCTTCTCAAATAAACTATGTGAGAAAACTCAAACAAAAAAAATGGTCTAGAAAAGACATTCCCCACAATGTGTCAAGGAAAGTTCCGTCAGCATTAGAATGAGCTGTGAGGTTACAGTATTTTAGACCCCTTTAGGACCCAATTGCTTTCTTTCTTTCTTTCTTTCTTTCTTTCTTTCTTTCTTTCTTTCTTTCTTTCTTTCTTTCCTTCTTTCTTTCTTTCTTTTTTCTGAGTAACAGCCCTGGCTGTTCTGGAACTCTTTTTGCAGACTAAGCTGGTTTCAAACTCACAGAAATCCACCTGCTTCTGCCTCCAAAGTGCTGGAATTAAAGTGGTGGGCTTTCTTGAATGGACTTCATATCAATTGACATATGTTGTTAGTATCATCAGCTTGGCTTCTTATAAACTTAGCATCTACCCATTTAGATGTTTTGTCATTTGTACATTTAGAAAAATGTTTAGGAAAACTATTTTGATGATTACAATTTTATGATTCTTCCCCAATAACTTAGATTTCCTGTAGCCAGGAATCTAAGAAGTCTAATCTAAGAAGTACAGTGACCTTTTATGTTGGTATAGTTTTTTCCATCAATTCAAATACATAAAGTGCTCTGTGACATTGACATCATCAATAAATGTTCATGTTAAACATTGATAAGAAAGATACTATTAATATTGTCATTTTATAAATGTGAAATCATTCACTGTATTTGTTGACTTCCTATAATTTGAAAGCAAACTATGATTTGAAATTTCTTTGGAAATACCATTTTCAGTAAAATTTGAGATATTAAAGTCATAAACTTCTGCTTAAATAAATAAATAAATAAATAAATAAATAAATAAATAAACCACAATGGAATTATTGTTAATAGTAGTAGCTTTGACACAGTGTGGTCAAATTACTGCCTTGCTCTATGGAGTCAAAGTATTAGTGGGTTATTTTTTAAAATGAGAAAGTCTGAGCAATATGACCTTAGCACACTTTTTTATCTTGATGTCTTCTGGCAAGTGATCATAGGATGTTTAAGATGGTATGGTCTTAAAGACAGAAAACCTTTAAAAGAACTGGAGCGGAACAACAGAGAGCACACCTGTCCCATCACTAGGCTTTGGGAAGACTGGCTGCCTATTTACCAAGGCTTCATTTTGTCAGAGGACCACTGCAGAGCAGAGAACAAACTTGAACTCTTCCCACATCCACCATGTAGCAAAGGAGGGCAGGCAAGGGTCATTCTTGGAGTAGTTATGCATGCACTGTCTTTATGTAAAGTTCTAGAGTTCTATAACAACTTGGGTACCATGTTCCTTGATGTTATTCTTTTTCTGAGTTCATTCAGATCCCATGGGTTCCCTTTTTATGCATCTATCCTTGCATCAGGTAGGCTGACTGTAGCTCGTATTATTAGTTTCCAGAACAATGGTAATATATTGACTTGTGTCTGGAATCTGGCGAGGGAGCTGATTCTCATCAATATTGAAAATGCTGGGGTTGAGGAAATATAAGCCCTGAAAAGCCATTTCATAGCTTTGCCTCTGACCCTTACTCTGTCTCTGAACCCAGAGATCCTCTCTGTCAGGACCATTTCTCTGTACCTCTGATGGTGCTCTGAACAGGCCCCTCATAGGTAATTAATTTACAGCTCTGGTCTTTTCTTCCTATGGCATGCACACTTAATCTTTGTGTTCTTCTTACTTCTGTAACTTCACAGTTCATCACCTTTAGGTCCTTCCCTTTCTCTGTTTTCATTCCTCCCACCCCCACTCTTTTTAGGACCTGGAACCAGTATCATCATATTCTCAGATCCTAGATTTAAGGTTATCCATCTGCAGAAATCCATTCCCTAAAATTCCCAGTTTTTCTGTCCAGGCTATCAAGCTGTAAACGTGAACCTATGGTGCGTAGAGGACTACCAACAACCCTCGAGGCACAATGACCTTCTTTCTGGTTTATCTTTATTTAAAAGTTGGCATTAGAAACCTATTTTGCCATCATAATAAATACACCGTGGGACAACATTCTTAATCCAAGAGGAATTTAACTTTAAGGAAATTATGCACATGGGTTACCTGCCAGGGTAATGAAACCCATAAACCAGGTAGTAGGGGCAAGTAACTTCACTCTGTTTTAACACTAGGGGTGATTTCATGGGGGTCATTGAGAACTCGGACAATGGAGGCAACCCAGAGGCAATGCAGCATTTTGATATTAA